AATATGATACATTAATGTGTTTCATAAGAAAATTATGTATTCACCCATCATAATGATCTCATTTTTTTTATCAAACCAATATTTATAACAAATTATAATATAAATATTAGCCTTTTATCATTAAAAAAACATAATTTGCATAGATATATAATTACATGTAATTTCAATTTGCATATTCTTAATATTAATTAAAATATATCATAAATCTTAAGTTGTCTTTTAGTCATTTTTATTTAATACGGATCCATTCAATAAGATTGTGTGAAGTATAAAACTAAATTAATTTTTTTTAATAAAAAACTTGGTTATAAAGAATAAAACTTTCCTAATAACTCTTAGTAAATAGTATTATGATTTCTAAATAATATATAATTATTTTTAATGATTCTAAAATCAATAATGATGATTCTTTATAATTTTGAAAAATATAATGCTAAATATAGCTCATTTATAAAGACAACAAAAATAATGATGATTCATATTTTGTATTAAAACAAATATTTATATCTATAATTTTCATAATTGTCTCATATTTTTATTAAAATAAATATTTATAGTAATTTATAAACTAAAACTCGTTTATAAATTATATTTTTAACAAAACCATGAAAGAGCCGTCTTTGTATTTTATAATTTTAAAATATTTACCATTCTCTTATTATAAATACTAGTAATCTTTTTCATATATTTAAAAAAAGTCAATAAATTTAATAGATTTATTTTATTTATTAATCTTTCAATACTATCATATTATCCTATGTATACTAATACGTGTGATTTTTAATTTATAAATTAAATTTTCTTATATTATAATTAAAACCCGATAAATTGGGACAACAATTAAAATGAAAAAAAATTATCTGATATGACTTGTACAAATATTTTAATTTTTCAACTCGTGTTCTTAGATCTATTTACTCGACCGCGGATATTTCTATAACACCTCTAACAGAGAAAGAAATAGTAAATTTTGAAATAACTTATTGTCACTTGCATGAGTATCTTGATTTCGATTCAAACATGAATTTTCTTGACACTCTATATTCTAAGAAATTTTTATCATTCGAAAAGAGGAAAAAACCTCTAACTCACTTCCTTTTTTCTTTGTGAGTTTCAAGAGTATGCTTATTTATAGGTCCCTGAGTCATATGTATAAATTGAAATATATGAATGATGCATTATTAGAATCAATAGGTCTTTTCATTTGAAAAAAAGGAAACTCGCATTATTAGATGACTATTATACTTCTCAAAAATCAAAATTCTTGATCAATGAAGGGACAATATTACTATTTTTGTTCAATAAGATACCAAATCAAAACAATTGACTGAATCATATGAAATATTTTCATAGAAGTTCATTGATTTCCTCTTCTTATAAAATAAATTGACTTAGATTTTTGAATAATCAATTAAGTGTTTCTTTATCGGTAATTTTTTTTTTCTTTTGAGTATTTTTTTACAAGTAAAAAATTAAACTTGAATTTGATATAAAATTAATTTTTAAGTAAAGTCACAAAATAAGTTGTTCTCTGAATAATTTATTATTATAATAATTTTTAAGCATTTAAATGAACAATGTCATATTTATTTGAAAATAAAATTAATTTTCATTAATTAATTAGTTACTTGATACTTTAAATTTATATCATCATTAAAGGTTGAAAAGTTAGTCAATTTTCTTTTCTTCTTAATTGATTTATAGGTAATGATCAATTGAAAAAAATAAATTAAAATGAAGTAAAAACTCTTCAATAAAAATAATTTCTTAAAAATAAACTCGTTTGATCTTTAATTATCCACTTAACACTCGTTTAATATTATAACTTTAATATTTTAATGAATAAATTATTTAAAGTAATTATATTAATTATATAATATCAATTAAATAATTAAAGTGTATTTAGAGAATTAAATATTTTTGAAACCTTGTTATAAACAATTTTTGATAAAAATAAAATTGTAATTTAAGTTATACTTATTATTATAAATTTACAATTTTATATCAAGGTATAAACAATAAGAGTATAATTTCATAGACATTTATAATGCAAATAATACTACTGGTAAGATGAAATATTTGAAAATATTTGTTATTCATATATATAATTAAATTTAAAAATTAAATAAAAATATCTTATGAATTATTAAATTTGATATGAAAAGAAATTAGAAAGAGTGGTGAGGTGATAGTGGTCAAAGTTGTGTGTTTTAACGATTGGTTGATTTTATAGCAGAGGCATGCAAAGAAGAGAATTGGTTCAAATATTTGAAAGTAAAAGGCAGAAGACAAAGAGAAGGAGTAGAAACTGACACGTGTCAGTCACATTCCCCTGACAATGAATTAGCCTCAGAACCTGAAACGGCGTGACAACCAGATTTAATTTCTGTTGACTGTATATGGCCGGTGCCTTAATTCTTCTCCTTCCATTTGCCACACTATATTTAATTATATTATTCTTCACATTTTCCAAGAAATAATACAGATTCTTCATTCACTTTACTACTACTTCTTCTTCCTCTTCTTCAAATTTTTATTTCTTTCTAATTTCTCTTCTTTGTTTCTGGACTTGGATGTTTGTTCTAGCTGCATTTTCAGGTGCAAAATTTCTAAGGTGAAAATCGAAAACACCAAGAGACGTCGAATTTGGCGCCAATATTTTTCACAGGTATTTCAAATAGTTTCTTATAAAGTTACCCATATACAGTATAGTAGTATAGTCTTCTACATTATTCATATTGGGTTTGTTCTCAAGGTTTCTATATGTTAACCTCTCTCATTCGCGCGCTTGCTATTTTTAAATTAATACTAAAATGTCTTTGTTCAAATAATAACAATCTTAAATTTGGTTTCAGGTGTGATTTTAATATTTTAGGTTTAAAGAATGTAGATATTAAATATTTTATGACATAACTGAACAAATCTCCCATTCGATCTAAATCATAACAAAAACAAAGTGAGATGTAATAAAATAGAATAGATATTAGTCTCTATTATTTATTAGTTTATTTTATTTTAAAAATCTATTAGGATATATTTGGATCAAATGAAATTATATAGTATACATTTGTGTTTCACTATTTGGATTAATTAAAAAAAAATTGAATGGAGAAAAATGTATGGATGCTTTATATTTGATTTCATGAGTTTTTTTTTACCAGAGTGAAAAGATAAAATTATTTAATTTATTCTGTCATGAAATATCAAAACTATTTTTAGTTCTTGGACATTGTTATGTTCTTTTTGTAATGTTGATGTTTGTTGTAATTTTTACAATTGAAATACTCTTTCTCTTAATATAAAAAAAGAACTTGTTCACAATAGGTGTGGGCGTGCGAGGAGTGGATGCACTTTCGTGGTGTTACGAGATCCAAGCTTTGGCTAGCTACTAACCTAATTTGTTCCCTATCTCTACACGTTAAATATTTTATTAATTATTTGAGCAATAACATAAACATTCTATAGTAGATATTTCCCATGTTCTATCATCATAACTTTAGTACTAGTAAAAGAATATGCATTTAGTCAAGAATGCTAGTAAGTGCAACTCACTGAGGATGTAGCTCTTATAAAATGAACATTAAACTTTCGAAAATACAAGTTTATGGTGTTGTATATTTGGAATATTTGTTTTTTTTTTCTCACTTATATCCTTATTATGGTTTTAAAAAATATATTCGATTTTGAAAACTTCTGCGACAAAACAGTATAGATAAGTGTCGATATCGATATTATAATTTTCTATTTTTAAATTAAAAATAAATTATAGATAATTCACATCACAAAATTCTTAATCAGTGTCGCAATACCTATATTAATCAAAATTATAAAAAATATCACTTGACCGCACTTGTTTAAAACATTGATCTTTATTTATTCTATCTCAATCAAACTAATTATTTTGTTATACTAACTACTATCAATAAGTGTTTTTTAGTTAATAAAAATCATTTTATCAACAAAATTAGAATACTCCATAACTTAAGAAATGAGTGTAAAATTTAGTCTTATAGGAAGAAAAAAGAGAATGTTAGTAGGGTAAGTAATTGAATCTAATTTTAAACAATTTCAAGATAGCAAGTGTGTGGCCTTTGAGTCTTTGATGGTGAGGAAACCAAGTATATGGTCAACAAACTAAACCCTATAAATTTTTAATAATGTTTTTTTAATTACTGTTCGATTGAGTCACGTTAGTAATATTTATTTTATTCACTATAATATCAAAACATAAGTGATTTTCACTCATTCTTTCAGTCCTTTTAATTTTAAATATGTTGGATTTTATTTCAAGACGGTATTCATGCATCGTTAACACATGCATGACTCGAAATTCAACATATTGTGTCTTGTGTTTGTTAAATTTATGATCTTGCTTATACTTCAACTCAATTCCATTTCAGTTAATTTTTATTATTTTTTGAGCATTTTCATTTACTATTATTTTAAGTTAAATAGAGAGAAGAAGGATTGTAATAACTTTACGTAGATTGTAGTGTGTGAGAATGCCGGGCTTTCAGGTGTCATATTTTTGCCAAAACGAGGTAGAGAGTTCCAATAAATAAACCAAGTGGTAGAGAGACAAACAAAAAAGCTAACATGGGATTGTATATTTTCACTATGTCTGTCCAAACACTGAAGAAGGATTTGAATTTCAGTCAATAGAGTAATTGTTTAATAACACACTCGTGTCCCAAATAATATTCTATTATTAATAGTACTAGATATTTATTTATATATATATATTTTATTATTAATCTCTTGCATTGAAATTTGTTTGAATGACTCATAGCACTAAAATACTTATAGTACCTTCTTCTCTTTGTCTCTCTAGACTCATTACAGCATTCAAACTTCATTTGTAACTTTGGTAAACCTATATACTTTTTCTCTCTATGTCCATTATATTCATTCACCTAAACAAATTTTCTTACATATATTTTCATTTTATGCAGGTACTCTTTGATTTCTATAGTAAAGTAAGTTGAAAAAAAAAGTATTCAATGAACAACAATTGGCTTTCTTTCCCTCTCTCACCTTCTAATTCTTCCTTACCTTCAAATGATCTTCAAGCAACTCAATATCATCACTTTCCTCTTGGATTAGTCAATGAAAACATGGAAAACCCTTTTCAAAATCATGGTATATATAATCTTTTTCCTCACACTTACACCTATGTTTGTGTTTCATATATTTTTAATGATAAAATAAACCTATGTTTGTGTGGTGGTATTTGGATTGAATGAACAGATTGGAATCTGATGAACAACCATAGCAACAATGAAGTACCAAAAGTTGCAGATTTTCTTGGTGTGTGCAAGTCTGAAAATAACTCAGATCTTGCTGCAACTGATGGAATTCAATCAAATGATTCAGATAACTATATGTTTACAAATAGCAATAGTCTCATGCCAATGCAAAACCAAATGATAACAACTTGCACCAATGAGTATCAAGAAAAGGGTAATAACAGTAACTTGCAATCTTTGACATTATCCATGGGCAGTGGTAAGGATTCAACATGTGAAACTAGTGCCAGTGGTGACAACAATAGTACAAACACCGTTGAAGCAGCGGTTCCTAAAAGAACTTCAGAAACCTTTGGTCAAAGAACTTCAATATATCGCGGTGTAACTAAGTAAGAAAGTTAAACTATACTATGTCATTTCATCCATTTTATTTATTTTTTCTCTAATGTGCAAAATATATATCTAACTATAAATATATAGACACAGATGGACTGGAAGGTATGAAGCTCACCTTTGGGATAACAGCTGTAGAAGGGAAGGACAATCAAGAAAAGGTCGTCAAGGTGAAGTTTAAATATCATAACTTTAGGGTTTTAATAAACTATTTTGAAGTTTCTTTTGGAAATTTATTAACACATTTCTCTTGTCATGTTTTGTTTGGATTCCTCTCAACTTTTCTTCAGTCTACTTAGGTAAGTGTTTCATTTGAGATAGATCTTCAACTTCAACCGTCTTTCTATTTTTCTGGTCTCTAGAATTTATTTTTTGTTTTGAATTTATTGGTAGGTGGATATGATAAAGAAGAGAAAGCTGCTAGGTCTTATGATTTAGCTGCACTTAAGTATTGGGGGACATCCACCACTACTAACTTTCCTGTAATTTGACTTCTGTTTAATTACTTTCTCAAACTCATCATCATCTCAAATAGTTTAAATGATTTATTATATTGTCGTTTTGCAGGTTAGTAACTATGAGAAGGAAATAGATGAAATGAAGCACATGACAAGACAAGAATTTGTAGCCTCTATTAGAAGGTGAAATATATCATGCATAGTTTTAAGTTGTAGTTATGCTGCAGACCTAAATATTGAGGTAAAATGCAAATAAATGTGACTAATGATTTATGCAAACAATGCGATCACAATTTTGGTTGCGATAGTGTTGCATAAATCTTTAAACCTCAAACCCTAAATTTATAACACAATTTATACAAATATAAGTTATTTTGGTAGGATATGAATTTATAGTGTTGCTGCTCATTTTAATATTCAATTGCATTATAGGAAAAGCAGTGGTTTCTCAAGGGGTGCTTCAATGTACCGTGGAGTTACAAGGTGCAAAATGTGACAACATTTTTTCTTAATTTTTCCTTTTAATTCTATGTATTGTTTTCCTTTCTTTCTATAAATACTTTTGCTATAATTAATTAATAAGCTAATATAATATTAATATTTTTTAGGCATCACCAACATGGAAGATGGCAAGCAAGGATTGGCAGAGTAGCCGGAAACAAAGATCTTTACTTGGGAACTTTCAGTAAGCCTAAAACATTTCATGAAATTTGACTTACATTCTTTCTTATCTTTGATATCAGCTTCAACACATGAAAACTATTTGTGGTAAAACTCAAATATGTTTCTCTGATGACAGGCACAGAAGAAGAGGCTGCAGAAGCATACGACATAGCAGCAATAAAATTCAGAGGACTCAATGCTGTAACTAACTTCGACATGACTCGTTACGACGTGAAAGCCATTCTTGAAAGCAACACACTTCCTATTGGAGGAGGTGCTGCAAAAAGACTGAAAGAAGCACAAGCTCTAGAAACCTCTAGAAAACGTGAAGAGATGATGGCACTCACCTCATCATCTTTTCAATATGGAGCATCAAGCTCTACTAACACAAGGCTTCAACCTTACCCTCTCACTTATCATTATCCATTTGAACAACAACCTCAACCTCAACCTCAACCTTTGTTAACCTTACAAAACAACCATGAAAACATGTCTCAATTCTCTCAACACCAAGGTGGAGGTTATTTCCAAACACAGCTGGAGTTGCACCAACAACAAAACCAACCAACGTCTCAGAATAATAATATTGGTTCGTTCTACAATGGTTATTTTCAGAGTCATCATCCTGGTTTGTTTCAGATGAATAACATGGGGTCTTCTTCTTCATCTTCTGTGATGGGAAATAATGTTAGTGGTGGGTCTGGGATTTACAGTAATAGTGGAGGGTTGATGGGTAATAATAATGCTGCGGGAACTGTGGAGGAATTTGTTCCGGTTAAGGTTGATTATGACATGCCTGATGGAAGTGGTGGTTTTGGTGGCTGGTCGGCTGCCGGAGAGAACATGCAGGCATCAGCTACGGCTGATTTGTTTACCATGTGGAATGACTATGAAACAAGAGAGAATTAGATAGATGCTTCGGTATGAAAACAATTGACCATACAGTTTTGTTGTGTCTTTTTTATTGTTTCATTATTATGTACTATTGTTGTTGTAGTTGAAAACAAAAAATAGTAGTTGTTTTTCATTTTTCAGTGGGACATTCATTGACCGATTGAGTAGGAAGGTAACTGTGTGGAATGTTCACGGGCTGGAACACCATATACCACAACATGGAAGTGACTTTATATTCTCTCCTATTGAAGTTTGAAAGATTTATGATAGATTTATAATAAAAATTGAAATAGCCCCTGTTGAATTTGAGATTATTAAGTATTTTATAAAGAAGCAGTAGCACCTAGCCACATGAAGAGACTTAATCTAAGATGCATATGTTATTGAATTCCTAAACAAGACATTTGAATAGCGAAGCATTGTTGGCTTCTTTTACATAAAAGCAATATTATCAATTTGAACTAGTAAAACACTTTATTATAAGTATTTATAAAATATAGAATATATAATATAATTTTGTCGAAGTATCAAACATTTACGGCATAATTAAATGGATGACTATGTTAATTTTAATTTTATTTTGAATATTTTTATTAAATTATCAATATTAACTTTTATTAATTTACAGAAGATTTGTTTTTGTAGTTTAAATATTTGTCTTGTATTTCATTTTGTATATTTTAAATAAAAAAATCTTTGCATTGTATTAGTTTTTTTATATATATTTATCTATAACAAATAATTGTTACATGATATTTTATTTATGAATGATAAATAAATGCTCGGTATATTTATTAATATTTTATTTATTTATATTTAATAGTGTCAAGTATTTGTGTCCTATTTATTATACATCAATGACAATTGTCAAGTATTTATACAGTAAATTTTATAATAATTAGTGACAAATGTTGTCTTACATTTTTCTATATATCAAATGATAATATTTATTTTATGGATTTTGTATAATTGTCATTAAAATTTTGTATCCCTTGTTATATATATATATATATATATATATTGATCTTACTGGATCAGAGATGGACCGTCAAGTTGGCTTCCGACTGAAGTTGAATGAGATGATGGTACCTACAAGACACTCTGATGGTAAAGTAAGAAGCGAAATGAGCAAGCAATTATGAGTTTAGAGATGTATGAATGAATATCTGACCTTCTTGTGAGATAGGGTATATATAGCCCCCAGCGCTGGGCCAAGGTTCCCACTCTTGGGCCACGCGGATGCCCAATAACAGGAACTGTCAAGGTTTACGTGTGTATGGAGTCCAGCAAATGGACTCCTCCCTGGTCAACTGCTCCGCGAGAATAGGGCTGAACCCGAGATTCCCGGAAGGCAGTTTGGGATGTCTGTCAGGAGGTCGCGGGTCACGTCCTCCAACGGTTGGACAGGGAGTTGCCCCACGGTCCCTAACTTGGGCTGTCTTTGGGCTTCCCGTTCGTAGGGAAAATGTAGGCTCAATCCAGATCAGGAGCCCCCCAAGTTATTGTCTTCGAGCTAAAGGGTGATGACTTGATTTCAGCTCTCGCTATCGAAGATTTGGTTGAGGTAGAGAGCCAAAGTCCCCAAAGGGAGCGAGTCGTTGCCAGCGGGGGGTCAGGCTCGAGTACGTCGGGGAATATCATGGACCAACGGGGATCGGGACCGAAGGGGTCAACCGCTTGCTCGAGAGGACGTATTGGTGGCGGGGACCCTCTGCGGGATCCCCTTTGATATGCCCGTTTCCTGGGAGTTGTTAGATTGTTGAGCACTTCCTCATCCGCGAGATGGTTAAATAGAGGTGCCCCTTTGTGCACTTAAGTGGCGAGCACTTCCTCGTGTAAGTATTCGCCTCACACGTTTGATAGTTAAGCCATGTGGCTAGTGCTTTGGGATGCCACCCCTTCAAGGAAAAAGTAAAAGGGGCCAATGAGGTGATGACCCTTTATGAGGGATCCCTTGGTGTGTGGGCCGCCTATAAAAAGGGGGCCCTTGGGTCTCATTTGCCACCTTCTCAAGTTTCCTCTCAATCTTTTCTTTGCTCGTGGCGTGAAGCAGTTCTCTCAACATCTCAGTTTTCCCCTCCAAGTTCTTCATCCAAGTAAGTTATAACCTCTCAACACCACGTTTCTCGAGCGTTTTTGGATTAAATGTCAAAAATTATCTTGATTGGATGAACATTCATGAGTTTTATGATGAATACTCATGAATGTTCGTTTGAGTTCATGGGTTCCGTGTCGAGCACTCATGAATGTGTTGGGCACTTATGAACATTCATGTTATAGTGTCGGGGAGGACTCCTTAGGCTAGTGTGCATCCCGGGTTTTTGCTCGGCGAGTGATCCCCCGACCACATGTCCTTGGAATGTAATGGTCCGCTTTAGCATGTCGAGGGCTTGGGTCGAGTTCGTCGCCCTTTCTCTTGATCTGCGGTGGAAGGGTGGATTTGATAATGTTGAATTCATTAACTTCCCCTGCTTTTCAGATACAATGGCACGTTCAGTCGGGGACGACATTCCGGCCGCCTATCACGAAGACGAGCCCCATAGCGACGAGGATCCTTTGGCTTGGGTTGCTCCGGAGCCCCGGGATAAACGGTCGTGCTTTTCACAGGATGCGACATACGCGCTCAACTGTCCGGAGGAACGCGCAGAAGGGCCCCCGAACAACTGGATGCTTCAAATTCCCCATCGGGATCGAAGGATATGCTCGACGTATCCGGGCAAATGGTTCCCCATGTATGAATTTTCTTTCAAAGAGGCGGGGATGCGTCTTCCCTTCAATGGTTTCCAGGTCGGAGTTTTCCAATGGCTTCAGATGGCGCCTTCCCAACTTCATCCAAACGCGCTGGTGTTTATGCGGGTGTTTGAGCTCGTCTACCAATACCTGGGGATAAGCGCCACGCTGCCCCTTTTCTTCCGCATCTTTCATCTACAAAGACAATTTGTCCGAGGGAGGCAGGTGTGGGTATCCTTCAAGCAGTTCGGGAAACTCTTCCGGTCTTATCTAGAGTCCGTCCGAAATTTTAAAGAGAGGTACTTCGTTGTGAATCCCCTGTCGGACGCGGCCATAGATTCTCTCTATACCCGTGTGGAAGAGGTGGAGGACGGGCGGCCAGTTACCCGACTTATGGCCAGATTCCCGCTCGAATGGAAGTGGAGGAATTATGAGCAAAGGCCCGAATACTATGCAGTGAAACCCGAGGATCTGGATGCCCAAGACCAGCTTTCGTACGAGAAGTTGTCGGCTTATGTTAAAGGTTTCTCCCCCGTGAAGTGCATGGACGTGAACGGAAACCTGTTGTTTGACGAGGAGGGGGAGTATCTCTTAGTAAATAGGTTGGTCAATACTAAGGCATTGCTCGAGTTCTCCTCGAATGGGGAAGCCATGAGGCTTTTGGGTAAGGCGTAGCCGTTACTTTGCTCCTTTTTACGCGGGGACGTGTCCGCTCTGTTTTTGATTTTTCCAACTCAACTAACGCTTCTCTTTGATTGCAGGTCGAATGGCGTCTCTTTCCGAGCGTTTGTTGAAACTGAGGCCCAAAAATGCATCCACTTCTGGACCACGAAGCAGAGTCGCCCAGCTTCAGGAACAGGCCAAATCTGTCGGTCGGGCCAGTGATTCCCCTTCCTCCTCAAAAAATCCAGCTTCTACTGATCCGGCCCAGATTCGCGTCAATTAGCCCGTGGCTAAGAGGAAGCATGCAGATAACGCTGCGGGCGTACCGTTCGAGGGTGACAAAACGTCCGCGGGGGTTTTCGTATTGCCTCCTTGCTATCTAAACTGCGACCTCTTCAGCGAGGAGGACTCCCTCGGCGTGCGCGAGGAGGAGAGGGAGGCCATTTTGACTAAAGATAAGGAGCTTCGCGGGAAGCACTTGGCCGAGGACGTGGCTGCTGTGATGAGGGTACTCGAGACGACCCTTACGCTCAACAATGAGTCCTAGAGTGCTCAAGCCTCCTTCGACACGGCCTACGCCAAAATCCACAAGCTGAAGGTCAAGAATGAGAAGTTGAAGGGTGATATCCTCAACCATAAGTTAGTTTGCTTTATGATTTGCGCTTATTATCACTATTTTGTAAATCACTTTAAGACTCTCTTGTATCCTCAATTGATTATAGTAAAGATATTTTCTTTGTTATGGATGACTCGTATTTTTTACTCTCATATTTAGGGATTTTCCACGTTTAAAATATTGGTGTTCTTTTGTGCTTTTATTGTTCGGTTGTCGTCTTATATTTATTATTGATCCTCAAGGTTCCTAAAAGTTTGGGAAATATTATGTCTGCTGCGTATTAGTCTATTATTGTGTTTTAATTTCCCATCAGAGTGGCATCAGAGCTCTTGGTTAAGGGCTATTTTACATGTTTGAATGATGGAGTCAAATACAAAGATGAAGATGGTATTGTTGAATGGTTCTAATTACCATTTATGGAATGGCAAGATGAAAGACTTAATATTTGTGAAGAAATTGCATTAACCGATTTTTAGTTCCGTAAAGCCAAATTTTGTGTCTGATGAAGAATGTGAGTTTGAACATCAACAAGTATATGATGTTATTCAACAATATGTAGAAGATAATGTTAAATGGCCATCTGAAATATTGTGAAGGCATTGCTTGACATTAGACCTCTCATTTTTATCTTTCTCTTCAAGATGAACTCCCTTATACCCAAGTTATCTTGCTCAGAGCTGTCTAACACCCTATCAACTAACTTGGCAAGATCATTTGTGTCTCTCCAAGTAGACAAATACTTCAAAATATGGTGTTGTTACAAAGACTTTTGATTTTCAGACATGCGATACCGCCTATTCTGACGCTTAACCACCTATAAAGTACAGCGAGGAAGAAGTAACAACCGAACTCAAGCACCAAATAATCTTGGATCAACAACAACCTTATAAAAAACATATTTCATTGCCTGAGAGAAAGCAAGATGACAGCTAAGAGTTATACTATTCACGATGAAGATATGTGTTGCAAGGCCTGTCTCTAACAACCTTATATCCAAAACAAACTCCTCGTTTGTTTGAAGGTCATCATAGTCTATTGTGGATGATTTAGCAATATCCACAATGTGACTTCCGACCTCCCATGTCCCATGAGTGACACGAAATAGATCATCAGGATGATGACATGCCCGACTCATGGTATGAATGCTCATTTTCCACATAATCATTGCTAAACCACCCTCAAAGACTCTTTCAATGCCGTAAAAATTTCCTGATCATTCTCAATCACATTCTATATGACACTTGTTCGTTCATCACTACATAGGCGTAACGTCTTAAGATGAGACACCATACGAAAAAGACCCTTACTCCCATCCTTACCATCAGGACAACAATGTAACCCACGAAATAGACAATGTAAGCCTCTTATTTGAGTAGAACACATGGTGGACAACAACGAAAGAGCACTTCCTCCATTCTTAGTTGATGAGACTACACTTTCACACTTGAAACCCAACACGAGTGAATAAAAAAGATAAGTTGTATGAGGATTTGAATGAGAACCACACACCAATTGAATGAAGATCAATGCAATGAGGATATGTCTGAGAATCTGTCTAGTGATTCTGATGAATCGAGTGAGGATAAGTCAAGTGGAGATTCAACTAATGGTCAGTTGAGTGAAGATTCATTCAAAGCTTAAATAAATGATTACTCATATGATTATGAATCATATGAATATGAAGATCAATGGGATGGAGATTTGCCTAAGGATCTAGATTGGAATGAGGATTTTCCCAAAGATCAACATTAGTGGGATGAAGATTTTGATGAACATACGAGAAATCTGCGACAGAATGCAATCTTTGAATTATGTTTAACATTGTTTCTTTGCCGTCTCTTGATGGGGTATGTCACATGATACATCTCAAACATAATGATTTATTATAATCATACTATAAAAAGTCTGTTCTGATTCTTTCTTCTGTTTTTCTTTTTTTGCGACAAATTCTGGAGAAAAAAAAAATGGTGATAAAAGTACGTGCACATCTTACATGGTTACATTTTATTCTTTGTTATCAAACAAATTTTGATAGCTGATGAAAATTCTTTTCCTTTCAGTTATCATGCCCGCTTCAACAATCCATAGTCTTATTCATAGTTTCAACAATCCATAGTCTTATCCTTGTTAAAATTTTGCAGCAAGTATGAACATAGAATATCTAGTTGTGATTCTTAAATATCATATTTGTGTCAACTCTTTGTTGAGGAGTTACTTGTCTCTAACAACCGGCCACATTATAATGATTGTTTTTCAGTTTAATACAGTTCAGTTGACATAACTTAGAGATGACTTTAGAAGTTACTCTTGAATATCCATTGCTCAATTCGTTGTAACATATGAATTACTTTGCCTTTATTTCAGCCTCGTCTTGGCAATATTTACATCACATTGCTCACATTGCTTTCATTCTACTGTACATCGTTGCATTAAAATAAAAAGAAAAAAGGTGGATTGTATTCAACTGTTTCAATTGACGCTATCTAAAGCGTGATACAAGCAAGATCTGGAGAAAAAAACTTAATAACAAAATTACATAAGTGCCATGGCCACTATATACTTAAGACACCACAAACAAATCATAGTGTATATAAGCTATGCTTTTACTGTTGTTTCAATTGCAACCTTGTAGTTAACAATCTCATTTTTCTCATCGGCTTCCCATAGCTCTGGAAATGCCTCTCTGATATTATGGATACTCTCTAATGCATGATCCACTCCTGTACTTCGCACTGATGTACCCACCTGCATCCACATGGCATTTGGAATTGACATTATTAACAAACAAAAAATTTGCAAATTCCATTTAACTGGCTGTTTTTGACTGCATAGAAGCAGAGAGCCATTTCATCATCATCCAAACAAAACTGGTGATTCTTTCAAAATATCATTCATTATTTGATTTTGATGATTTGAAAATAGTGTCTATGTATGTTGAAAACTCTAAAGTGGAACACTATAATTTAAATTGAAGTGCTCAAACCAAATACAAATACGATTCATTTAAAAAAACTCATTTAAATTGAAGTGCTCAAACTAAATACAAATACAATTCGTTTTAAAAAAATGCAAATAGTATTTGTTCAGTTGTCATAAGGAACTATTAGGGACCACTTACCGCAACCGTATGGAGGCCCAAACGTTTAGCCGTCATTAAATTGCGGAGACTGTCATCGAAGAACAACTGACGAGAGCAACAAACAGAAATAAATAAAATATTGTTTGTCACAATAACATGTCTAAGAATAAGAACAATGAAAGTGTTATCATGTATAACCACTTGTTAATTGATAACTAAGGTTTAGCATCATATCCTATATCTATTGGGAGTATAATAGATTAGCAGTTAGTTATTGAAGAAGATTACCCAAGTAGGAAATAAAAGTGTACTACTAATAATTTAAGAAAAATGAAAAGAGATCATGATCTATTAACGCGGAACTATTTTCAAAGGGTTGTGTGTTGTATCAATGAGGGAAGAAATATTTCTCTTACTGTTCTATGAGGGTCAATATCAGCCAACTTAAAAGCCTTTTCATATGCATCTTCAAAGGGTTTGCAGATAATTGGTGTCTTTGGAAGCACCATATCAGAATCAGGCCGGCGTGTGTACTCACAGAAATCAAAGATTTCATTGTCATCTTTGTCATTAGGAGGGCTAATGGCGTCAAAGGAATTCAGAGTATCAAAGCTTATAATTCTTTCAAAACAGTCCTCTAGCCCAAGTCTTTTAAGCACTCTGGTCGCATGTCCCGCGTCTGCATTGGTAAAACCCTGCAAAAGAGAAACACATAACACATATCACACACAAGCATACTAAAAACAGAGACTTGCTCCAAACCGAAACTATTAAGAAATATCAAAGAAACTTACCACTTTCCTAAAAGGCAAGCTTTGCAAAATCCCTTTGAGAACGGGGTCCGGTTTCAGTAGATTATATGGCAATCTTCCATGAACAGAACTGAGGAACACAAAATAGTATGTCACAACATACTAATTTATCTCTTGGTTCTAAACGAATAAGACAAATACCAACATAAAATAAAGGGTAGACAAATTCAATGAAAAATTACCTATGAAAGTCATCATAGTCAAAGTCATAGCCAATTGCCTGGCAAGAATACAAGAGACAAAATGACAAATTCATTAATCATCTTATTTTCTTTAAAAAAATGATTTGCTTTTCCTAAGTAGGCTTTATTTGGATTGATGGAATCAGATGGAACCGAGCAGTATGAGATGGAATGGAGTGGTATTCCATTGTTCAGATCATTTAAAATCAGATGTAGCGAAGCAGAAATTAGTGGTATGGATTCCATTCAATTCCATTTTACCACCATATTTCTTCCCCATCCGATTTAAACGGAACGAAGAATTTTGCTTTGTTCTGTCCTAAAATTTCCAAACGACGGAACATACATTCCACTCCACTCTGCTTCATTCCGCTGCATTCATTTTATGATATCCAAACATAGTCATAGCCTACAATTGATTTAAAAGGTTGATAAACAAAATTGTACCCTAAGACCAGCCATTGTTGTCCCATAAGTCTTGTATAATGAAAAGCACAATTCAGGAACTTTAGCAGCGTCCATTCCAAGCTTTTCAAGCATATACTCTGCACAATACACCAATTTCAAATAAATACATAACTAACTATAATCACCCCACTCAATCCCTCAAACGTGGAAAAACCAATGTGGTAAACTCATTCATTACCTTCAATATTTTTTGCTGTATGCGCAGAGATTCCGGAACTCAAAGGGTAAAGTGTGTCATCAATATCTGTAATCATCAAAAACAAATTGAAAAAATTTGAGAAAACATCAAAAATTATCGAGGAGTTATAATAGACTTACCAAACAATAGACAATCATATTTTGCGTTTGAAACTTCCTGGAACTTATGCCCGTTCTCCATTTGAACTTTATTACTTTACTTAAATAGGAAAAACTACAAGTAAAGAAAATATCAGAAACAAAGTTAGTTAGAAAATCAATAAACTCCGAATTGAATATTGTTGTATGAATAAAGGGCAATGGTTGATGTAGATCCAGAAAAATGAAGAGAGAGAGAGAAAGAACTTACGGAGAAGTAACGGAAGCGAAAGCGAGAAAAATGCAGAGAACGGTAAGGGACAGCGAAAAGTACAGATGATGGGGGAATGAGGAGAAGAAGGAGGGTTTAAATAGAAGAAAAAAATAACGGATAAAAAAAGTTAATAGCGTTTGAACGGAATAAAGAAAGCGTTTGGTCTATATGGATTGAAATTCGAAATATCTAGAAGAAAATAATAGAAAATTGATTTCTTAAGCACTTTCTTTCTGACCTCCCAAACCATGTGTTGTGTCGCTTCATAATTCATATTATTCACACCTTTTTTTTTCTGTTTTTTTTATAACAACTTTCTTTCTTTAAATATTGAACAAATAAATAAAATAGGCTTCATATATTCCCTCACTACCTTGACCAAAAATATTTGTGTATATTCTCTCTCTATGTTTTAGTTGTCTTAAAATTAATTACAGGGAATCAATTGATAGTTAATTTAGTGGAGATTAACGCTGAATTTGATAGGAATGACTCTTGATTTTAAATCACAAAAAAATTGATCACTCTCTTTATGAGATCATATTTCACTATACTTGCTCATTTAACTAATCATTAAATGTTTTTGACTCAAATCTAACTAATTTTTTTCACTCATTTTTGTGTTTAATCTCAAACATATATAAAATCATTTTGTCATCACTTTCATGTATAATTTTCATATCAAAATTGTGATTTTATGTGAAATCAACACCCTGTCACTTTTGGAAAGTTCAAAACTCTTGCAATTAAAGTTCTTTCTTCTTCAACCTCTATTTTGACTTGGATCTTGATAACGAGAGATTTGTAATTGATTGATGGAGATACCGTCTTGAGACTAATTGTTCTTGAAGATTAGGTAAAAAAAATTCATGGTTCTTACAAAATTGAGGTTGTTGTCATTGGTGCTGACAAATTAAAGTGAAAAGAAGTTCTTCTCTCTAAATTACCTTAGTAGTTGTAACGACCTGTTTGATTTAGTTAATTATTTATAATTAATTTATATGATATTGTACGTTATTTGATATTTTGATGTGTTTGGGGGCTCTTCGGTGTAGGGTGATATCATTAGAAATTAGAAGTAAAGGTGTTAAGGGGTGTGTGAGCAAATGCGTAGAAATATAAGGGTGGTGGGAAAATGTTGTTACTAATATTATTTAAATTAGCATTTAAATAGATTAAATAATATTAGTAATAATAAGATTAAATAATTATTTAGTTTTGGTTTTATTTATTTTAATTAGTTGGAAATAATAATAATAATAATAATAATAATAATAATAATAATAATAATAATAATAATAATAATAATAATAATAATACAATAAGAGAAATTAGGGAATTGGGAGGTAGAACCAATAATACGTGAAAAGAGAAGAGGAAGAGAGCCAGGGCTTGAGAAAGAAGAGCAAAACTCCATTGTTAGATGTGAAGAGAGCATTGTTAGGAATACCAAGATAAGAGTGAGGTTCCTGTTTTATAAGGATTTGCATAATGATATGTGGGTTGGGCTTTATGATTGCTCGTGTTGGAGTGTTGTATCTATATGCTTGTGTTCATCTTTTTTTGATTTTGAATGAATTAATGGATGATGATGTGATTGTATATTGTATTGATGAATTTGTGTGCAAATGGATAATGAGAAATTGTATGATTATGATGATGTATGTTGGTGTGAATTAATTTGTGTGGATCATGTGATTATTTGTGGTGTTGATGAATTAGATGTGGTACAATATTGTCTAATAATGTTGTGGTTGATGATTGAATGGTGAATTATATAATGTTGTTGTTGAAATTATACATTTGAATGAATGGTTGATGGTGGATATGGTGTTGTTGTGTGTGGTTGCGAGTCAGTGTAGGAACTAAGTTATGGATGTTCTCAGTGAAAAATATTTGGGGTTTGAAACTTTTAAAAAGTGTCTTTTTCCAGTTAAAACATAAGCTAACTGATATGTAATAGAAATGGAGTTTTAGGATGGCTTAAAATGATTTTCATTTTGAAAAAGTTGTAGAAAAGTGCTTTTGTCAGTGATGTGATCGATTACATGGTTGACATAACCGGTTACACTAAAAATGTGTTTTCTAGGAATTTTGGGTGATATAATCAGTTACCTGGATGATGTAACCGGTTACCTTGTGGAAAAACTGGTATTCTATTTTTGGGATTGATGTAACCGGTTACATAGTTTATGTAACCTGTTACATCGTTGTGTCGGAAATTTTGTAAAAACTTAAAAAATCCATAACTTTAGTTTCGGGTGTCCGACTGACACGCTATTTGAAGCTGTTAAAAGTCGTAACAATGTAATTTCATTTAAAATATTTCACGTTTCTGAAAATAATTTAAATGATGTGTAATGGTGTTGTATGGTGTGTAATTGTATGTTGCGGTATGATGTCAATATTTGGAATATGCATGAATGCATTGTTGTTACTTGCTATAATGTTAAGTGTTGTTGCAGAATGTTTATAGAATGTGTTTGGTCTATGATAACCAGTATTGGCGTGGTACATTGATTAAGGTGAAGGTCATTGTACTTGTTGTTGTTGTTACATGTCTATTATGTATCATTGTCGTACTCCAAATTTGCCCTACCGCGATGATTTTATATTTTCAAGATTTTAAAGATGAAAGAACTATTTAATTAAGGATGGTACAACAGTATCTGATGGCCCATCTTTATCCAAGACTAGGGGATGTAGTTTAATTCAGGAAAGCGGGGCTTTTTGAATAAGAAGTTATCCGTGAACCCATTCGCGAGGCATGTTGGCCTATGACCCATGAGATTCAAAAATGAAAAATTGTTTCAAAACTAGTAATTACTAAGTTATTAAATTATTAAGGCGATTTAAGTTTAAGTTACTATTAATTAGTAATTAAATTTATTAAAGACATTTAAGTGTTATTTATTAAAAAATGGAGGTGTAATTACGAATACTAAGCCCATTAGCGTTTACTTAAAAGAAATTATTTTTGTTACTTTATGGGCCAACTAAGGCCCAATTTGAATTAAAAAAGAAAAAGGTTTGCTGAAATTGTTGTTGGCCCATCAAATGTTTTATTATTAAAATTGTTTATATTTTAATAAAGAAAATAAATAATATATTATTTAAAAAAAAAAAAGAAGAAACGTAACACTTTTTTTGATAGACTTGTTTTTTTATCTCTTGTTAATTTTTTTAAAGGATTGTTGTTTTGAGAAAAAACCCAATTGAATTAAAGATATTTTTTTGCGGTAATAAACATGCTGCTGGGCTGAAACAATTAAACAAAACAGGTCCAACTTGATCGGGACTTTATGAGTCTATCGGGATACTAACTGCAAGTATACAGTTTAGTCGTTCTAGTTTTAAAAGATTATCGAACCCACAGAGACTGTGTATCAATCGCATACGATCTAATGCTACAGTTTTGTCTAACTAAGCGATGAATATTCGATGTTTGGGGTAGACAGTTTAGTTTTAAAAGTAATAGTACTAATTATACCGGTATGTGATAATCGAATTTAGGGAATTCAATGAATCGCTTGGCCTATAAAGTATTTCGGTAAAAGCTAATTGTTTAAAAACCTGAGACATACACTCTCGTGTTTATGAAATAAGTCATGCTACTAAACCTAGTGGATGCACTTTAAATTTAATAACACTTTTTGAAAACAAGAATTTAATTAATTTATTAAAACACTCTCGTGTATTTAAAAATCAATGCTTCGTTACCACTATCTGGGTTGAACCCCAGCTCTCGCATGCAGGTTCTTGCCTTAATTAATTTCCCACTCTCGTGGCAAAATCGTGTTAATTAACCTCTCACTCTCGTGACAAGGATAGTTAAATTAATATTGGAAATTGGAAACCAGAAATTGTTTTATAAATATTTTTGGCCAAGGTCTTATTGAATTCTTTCAGTTCTTACGGTCACATACCGGTATTAATAATTTAGCCAGACATAATTAACTTAACAGTAAATAAGTTCAAAATACAATTCATGGCAATAATTGGCATATTATCGAAAACGAATAAATAATAATTGCAATATAAAAAACCTGGAATTACAGATGCTATAGTAATCTTGAGGTAATACAGTAATCCAAATCTTCAAGCTTGACTTGCAGTAGAAATTCGTGTTAATTCTTGTAAGAAGAATTAACACTTAAAAATAGAAACTAAGGCTTGAATGAAAATTACAGGGAATTGAAAGCAGAGTTGCAAAAGAAAATAATTTGGAAATAACTGTAAAAATAAAATAAGTATTTGCTGAGTAAAATTCTTCGACCCTTGGACTGTGCCTTGGTATTCATATATATAGCAGGAAAAATCAGCAGTTTTAATTTTGAATTCTTGAGGAAGTCTTCGTGGAGAAATTCCAGGAGCAGTAGAAGTTGTGGCAATAAAATAGGAGGTTCAGTAGAAACGGGAAGAATTATTCTGCCCTTTACGCCCACGTCTTCAATTATGCGCAACGTCCTCCTTCACGCGCGTGACGGTCGTCACAGGTGGGTGACGGTCGTCACACGCTGAAGTGGTGTCTTACGTTCGTCAGGTGCGTGTGACGAGCGTTTGGTTATATTGTGGGGTGTTACGTCCGTCACAGGGGCGTGACGACCGTCAGGCATCCAAAAGTCCACACTTTGTATTTTTTTTATTCTTTTTCTCTTTGTTTTTCGTCTAGTTTTCTTCATGTTGTCCTTTTTCATTGATTTGAGTCGACAAGTGTCACACCTGCAAAAAAAAGACAAATAATCTCGGAATAATCGAGGGTTAGACGACTTAATGGAATATAAAATCGGTAAAAAGTATGTTAATTATACGATATGTTTTCTCGTTAT